ATCATGAGTCACTGCGCAAATAGAATGGATAAACGATTTACAAAAAGAAATTTTTTTTAAATTGAGTTATAGTCAGTTTACAAAAAGAAATCTTCATTCAGCTTGGCTTACCCTTCTCCAAAATTTTGTCCAAAACTGTTGCAGTATCAATTTTCTTTCCTCTCTTACACCCTCTACCCTGCTGAGGATGCTATGGTGTGCAACATACCTAGAATAAGTCACCTAAAGCAAAAAGAACATAAGTGTTTCATATACCCAAATCAGGGTTACAACATTATTTTTATTCATTAATAACATTGAATACTTGCTTATTTCATGCCAAGCAATGTGCTAGGCATTGAGATGCTAAGATGAATAAGAAACATCTTGCCCTCAAAGACCTGATAATCATCCCTAGGAGACAATCTGGCAAATATACCAGTGTCGGATGTGCTTTAATAGGGTTCCAGTTAGGGTGTCAGAGCACTGAAAAAGAACATATGACAACCTTGGGAGACAAGGAGGTGGGGTGGGTATAACCCATCAGATAGGGAAGGGAGTTCTATGCAATTGGGAATAGCATTTGTAGAGCATATGTGAGAGAGAACAAAGCATGGTCAAGGAATGGCAATACTTGAAATATCTAGCATTAGGGTACTAGTGGGGTCTGACCTGATGGGATATGTGAGAGAAATCCAACATGGACCTAGTGAAGAAGAGTCTGTATATCACACCAAGAAAGCCAAAAGTAGCCTTTGAAAGATTTAACCAGGGTTGTAATATGATCAAATTTGAATTTTGGACAGGTCATTCCAATAATGGTATGAAGGAACAACTAAAAGGGGGATACCTAGAGGCAAAGATCAAGGCAGAAGCTCAGAGAGACCTCAAAACATAACCTGTAATGTAGCAGTCAGAATGCTCTCAACTGAGATAATTTAAGCCAGTTGAGTCAGATTTTCTGTTTTCTGTAGTTGACAGCACACTAACAGAAAACCAGATTCAGCTGGCTGTAATTTATTATCTCACATAACAAGAAGTCTGGTGGTAAGGCTGCTCCAGAGTTGGTTAACTGAATAGTCTCACTTCATAACTAAGGATCTAAATCCTTTTCCTCTTTCTATTCTGCCATCCTGAGTTGGTGGGCTTGACATTAGTTCCCCTTGAGGTCACAAAATGGATGCTGTAGTTCTGGGTATCATATTCAAACATGACAATGTCCAGAAGAAGACTTTCTCTTTTTTTTTTTTTTTCGCTCTTTATAAGAATGAAAAAACATTTCTTAGAAGTCGTTGACAGACTTTACCGCATGGTTCACTGGCTAGAATTATATTATTTCCACATCCAGATGTATCACTGCAAAGGAAATGGGGCCACCATGATGAGCTTGGACCTGGAACTGAAGATATGAGTTGCATGGGGAAGAGATGAAAAATGAGATTCTCATTTTTTCTATCAGGAAAGGAAAAAAAAGAAATGCTTGTTGAGAGCACAAGACTAAACCCTTACACAACTGCAAAATTATTTAGAGATTGATTTTTACAGTCTATTAAAGATTTCCAGCTGATTGCCATCTAGAAATTCTGAGACATTTCCATCTGGGTCAAAAAAACAGAATGCCAATTCAAGTAGTTAATTTTAAATACAATTAAACTGCATTTTCCCTAGCTTTTGTGGAAGATTTGCTGAAGCCCAATTCATACTAAAGTGCTTTTCTTCTATAACCAAGAAACTTTCTCTAATTTTAACCAAATCTGAAACTTGAAAGTAGATCTAGGTGACCTGGTTCCCATCGCTGGTGGCATTTGTAAGTTAAGAAATTTGAAGCATCCTCTCAGAATCAGCATCGATTCCAGAAACCTACATTGGTATAGACAACTCAGAGATTCAGTTCTGCCCCAATCAAGAAAGCCTCCAAAGGTTATTCTTAATTTAGATCCTGCTAGAGTAGGACATACCATTTAAATTTCACAGGAAAGGTAAATGAGCCGTTGACCCTGAACTTGATCTCTTTTCTAGGTGTCACCCAAACAGGATATTACTAGAAGAGAAGCTAAATCACATACTTGGAGTTTAAAAGAAATCAAACAACACCCCCTCACCCACGGAGTTAGATTTTAACCAAGCTGCTGCAGCAAGTCTAGACTGCAGGACTCCAGGAGGCGCTATTCACATAGACACCAATGTAAAGGTCACCACAAGAACTTTAAAGACTAAATAGAAATAATTCTATATTTTTTTTAAAAAGAACTAGCCATACCGTAACATATAGCTAAAATAAGTAAACATGACCTATTACATAATTTTAAACAAAGTATGTAGAAAACAGCCAGGAATATAACTAAAGCCACAACTAGCTATAAATCATTTACTAAAAATAGAATAGTCTAGCTCATTTGTGGAAGAGGAGATAGATTTAAAACATTTTTTTCTAAGCAACTTTCTAGGAAGTATGAAAGAAAGTAGAAAATTTGAGGAGTTTCTCTTCCATTCCTAAAATGTTCTGACTTGATTGAAGGGAATGTATTAATAAAATACTAATAACAATGAATAGTCCAATTAAGTTAAACATGTTTTTCTGAGTTGGGAGACAGTATAATATAACGAAAAGAACACAGTCTTTGGAGCCTAAAGACCTGGACTTGAATTTCTTCTCTACTATTCAGTAGCTGTGTGACTTTAGGCTCTTTGCTGAATCTTTTTGAGTCTTGGTTTTCTCAACAATAAAATGGGGTTTATGTTATCAATTTCATAGTATTAATGTATGTAAAATACTTGATTGGTGGGGAGGGGATTCTGGTCAGCTTGTCTCTTCAGAGTCACCTGGTACTCAATATATTATAGCTACTGTTATTCTTTAACTATGGGTTGTGAGGGATAAAATACAGCTGAGTAGTATTACATGAAGGGAAGCAAGAGGTCTTGGGGAGTCTATGAAAGATTAATGCACCAAATGGTGCTACATAGTGACAGGGAAGTTAGGCCTTATAGAAGGTAGAATGCCTACAATAATTGTCAGTTGCCTTCCTTACATCCATTTCCCCTTTTCTAACAGTTCTTAGATTCTTATTGGTTATCTATGCCTCTTGTGAACAAATGCTTTGAGGGAAGCTGACCCCTCTCCCACTCTAAGACTGGGCCCTAATTAGTCTAAACACATCAAAGTAATTCCACCCCTCCTTACCACCATGTCCCACTCAGAAAGAACCATGTGATCCAGTTAAGACCAATGAGATTGGGGGTAGGGTTGTTGGGCATCTAGCAAGGAAGTCCTAAACTCTTCTGAGAGAGCCATGGGAGCCAGCATGTTCTCTCCACGTCTCTCCCACTGAAGGTAAATGAGGGAGCATGTAGTGCTGCTGGCTGCTGGCAGCCCACCTTTCACCATGAGGGGCACCAGTCATAATATGAAGCCAATACCGTAGATATGGCAGAGTGGAGGATGAAAGAACACAGGTCCTTAATGACCTCACTGAGCTGTCACATTAAACACCACTGAGGCACATCTACTGGATGTCCTGTTAAATAAGCCAATACATTTTCTTATTGCTTAAGGCAGTAAAGCTGGATTTTTCTCTTATTTGTAGCAGCAAGCAGCAGCCTCTAATTGAAATTTGGCAAGAAAAAGTGTTTCATTTTAGCTTACTGCATGTTTTTATCAAAGAAATAGGAAACATTCCAAGTGTACTGTAATTTAATCCATCAGCCAGTAGGTATTGAGGATCTGTATTGGGCATAGTGTGGCAGATGGAAGAAAATCAAAGACGTAACTCTTATATTTTAAAATTTTATATTCCATGAAGAACTGTAATTTTTATGGTAAAGACTTTGTTGAGGAATCTCAACCTGTAATTATTAATGTTACAGTACATTATTTCAAATTCTTGCCATTGGTAATTTTAATGAATTATTCTTTCATTTTGATATTTATTTATTAAAGCTCTATCATGTACAAAGTACTATATTTCATATAACGTTTAGCTTTTGGGTGAGAACTTAGCAGCAACTATTGCTGTATTTTCTATAGCCAGATTTGGAAGTGACAACCCTACAATGTGCTGAGGTAGATTATTATTTAATGGCCCTCGTGAATCCGTCTTCTGATATCCATCCCTCGTGTAATCTTTTCCCACAGAATCTGGGTTTGGGCACGTGACCTGTTTTGACAATCTCTCACAAGTAGGATCTTGATAAGCATTTATGCACAAGACTTGTCCTCTCAGAAAATGTGCCTAGAGACCACCATACCACTAAGGAGCCAAGAATGAGAGATCATATGGAGAGGGAGGCCCAGCTACTCAGCCATTCCAGCTGGGCCTAGTTCCCAGATGACCTTCCAGCTAAATGCACCCACATGAGTGAGTCCAGGGGAGACCAACAGAGGAACTGCTGAGCTAACCAACAGACTTGTGAGAAATACTAAATCACAGCCATTAAGTGTTTGAGTGGTTTGTTTTGCAGCAATTGACAACTAAATCATGGGTAGAGTAGTAAAGTGGTGTTGGATGAATTAAAAATGGGAGTCAAAAGACCAGATATCAGAAGACCTGGGTCTTAGTCTCCAACCACACGTCAAATTGGCATATTTAATCGCTTACCATATAATTTGATGAGGCTTCACACTAACTTGAAATGAGAGAATACCAAGCTCAGGGACAGAGTTAGAGCCCCAGCTCTAACCCCTTTTCCACATGGTGAGATCTCCTTCTACTGCCAAACCCTGGCAGTTCTGGGTATGGTTTTATTAAGCAAAGCACTATTGTCTGCCTTACAAAATACCCAGAAGATAACTAATGGGAACCACAACAAATAGCTAAAATTTATTAAATAATTTCTATGACGCCTGGCACTTTACAAGTGTTAATTCATTTAATCCTTACAACAACTAAAAGGAATGTATTATAATCATCTCCAGTTTACAGATAAGGAAACTGGAGCTAAGGATAACTTGCCCAGGGTCAAACAGCTAGTAAGTGGCAGAGCTGTGGGGTTTTTTGTTTATTTGTTTGGGTGTTTTGGGGTTTTTTTTTCATCATCTGAATAGGTAATAGCCAAGAAGTCTATCTGATCCTCAGATACAAACAAGTCTTGCTTTACAGACTTATGTATCTGTTAAAGACCAGCTTGAACACACACAAGTGGGGTGGGGGGAAGTGCTGGATAAAAAAGGCTACCTGAAGAGTGCAATGCATTCTAGAAAAACAGTATACAATTATGCCAGAGAGTTTCATCATTTCATCCTCCAGACTGTCCAAGAAAAGAACTCACTTTTGGAAATGGAGGAGATGGCCAGCTGTACACCAAAGTCCTTTTTATGTGGCTGCTGGGACAGAGACTACATTTCCCAGTCTCCTTTGCAGTTATTTGCAGCTATGTGATATGTTCTTCGTGACTGAATGTGAGCAAAAGTGTCACGTGTGGCTTCCAGACTTGGGCCTTAAGACATAGGGCTTGGGCTCCTCCATGCTCTCTTTCCCCTTCCAACTGGCTGGAGGACATGATGTGACAATGATCAGATGAGGACATCTTAGAGGTTCCTTCAGGATCTTGTGGGGCACAGACAACCTAAACAGGTCAGAAGGTTATATGAGAGAAATAAATTTCTGTCTTCTTTAAGCCACTGAATTTTGGGAGTCTGTTTATTACAGCAAATTAGTCTTTACCTCTACTAATATTTTGAGGTTGTACTAAATTAGACTAGGGGGTGGTTTTGCTCTTCAGTTTTCTGTTCCAGAGGCTCTCTGTGTTTCTAGTGTGGGGTGGGGGGTGAGGGTTGTGTGAATTTAGGTGGAGTCAAGCATAGAATGTGAAACTCTTTACAGGCTTGAGGAGGGACTTTGGGTGATGTCTGAGCCAAATCGTGCCTGTGGGATATGTGTTTTATTTTCCCCAAAGGAAGTCATTTAATCTCAGGAAATACTTTTTTTTCCCCAATCTGAAGGTTGAGTGTGTTAGAGGACCCTCATGTTCATGGACATCAATACAGAAGCAGGCATCCAAAATGTGGCAGGCCCTTGGTCACCCACATTAACATCTAGTATTCTCTTGCCTTGGTAGAGGAATCCTGATTGTGTTCAGGATCACCATGTTCCAGTTATCTATTGCTGTGCAACAAACTATCTCCAACCTTGTGTCAAATAACCACCAATTATTATGTGCGTGGATTCTGTGGGTCTGAATTGGGAAAGAGTATAATAGGGCTGGCTTGTTTCTGTTCTATGATATCTTGGGCCTTAATGAGGAAGATTCAAATGACTGAGGGCTAGAAATCACCTGGGAGCAGCTTCTTTACTCATACGTCTGATGTCTTGGCTGGGATATTCAAAAGCTAGACTCATCAGGAATACTGACCAGAGTGCCTACATACTGCCCTCCATGTGGCTGTGGCTTTCCCACTTCATGACAGCCTTAGAGTAGTCAGACTTCTCCTAAGGCAGCTCAAGTTTTCAAAAGCAAGTGTTCTAGTGAACAAGTGGAAGCCACATGGCTCTGTATGGCCTTGCCTCAGAAGTCACACAGAAGCATGTCCTCGGTACTCTAGTGGTTAAAGCAGTCACAAACCTGCCCAGATTCAAAGGCAGAGAGCATAAACCCTACCTTCTAATGGAAGAGGTGTCAAATAATTTGCTATCATATTTTAAAACTGCCCCATCATTCACCAAGGAAGATAACTCTATAATGGGGAAGATATCCCCATTTCTGGGGTATATATCTAAGACAACCATGGTAATTAACATTCCTCCTGCTAGTTGATTGGTTTTGGACAATGAAACTATAGGTAAGGGCTCTGGGGGCTACTGGCAAAGGTTTTATAACCTTAAATAGTAGATACCAGTAGAGGCAATTCCTCCTCTCTGGATGTTATAGTTTGTGGATGTGACCTAAGCTCTAATGGCTATCTTGCAACCACAGAGGGAAGATAACCTTAAGAGAAGGCCAACATCTTAAGGCTGGAATGGTGGAAAGGTGAAAAACCCAAGTCTTAGATGATGTGGCTGAGCAGCTGAAATAACCAAAGTCTGAACCATCCAATCTCAGATCTTACGTGAAATAACACATTCCCTTGCTGTTTGATCAGTTTGAATTGCTGTTTTCTCTTTTCTCTAAAGGCATGCAAATGCATATAAGAAACGCATTAGTCAGAGCTCTCCAGAGAAACAGAGAGAGAGAGAGAGAGAGGGAGAGAGAAACTCATTAACAGGAATTGGCCCAAGTGACTATAGAAGCTGAGCAGTCCCACAGTCTGCCATGTGCAGGAAAGAGACCCAGGAGGGTTGGTGGCGTAGTTCTAGCTCAAGAGTCAGAGGAGACTGATATCCAAGCCCAACAGTCAAACAGAGAGAGTGAATTCTCTTTTCCTCCACCTTTTTGTTCTATTTCAGGCCCTCGATGGATTGGGTGATGCCCACCCCCTTAGGGAATACAATCTGCTTTACTGAGTCTACCAATTCAAACATTAACATCATCTAGAAACACCCTCACAGGCACACTCAGAAACAACCCCATGGCCCAGTCAAGTTGACATATAAGTAGCTGTCAAAAGAAACTATGAGGTCTCCTTATAACTTCATCCCTATTAAGAAGTGTCAATTATACTTGCAAATTTGTTTCTCTTCCTGAAAGTGCTCTAAGAGAGCTATCATTTCATCTAATTCTTTAAGCACAGAAGAATACAGATGATTGAAACTTTAGCCTGTGTGTGGGGGGGGTTACACTAAGAGAAAGGATTTGGGTAACACATACTAGACATTTAAGAGTCACTATTCGAGCTGTGACCTTCATTCCTCTGGCCGAAGAAGTCACACCACTGTTGAGAGTATTAGAATGGCCCCATTGTAAATGATACAGCAAACATTTCCTCAGTTAGCTGGATGGAGTTTTTTTCAGTATATTTTGAATTTTTAAAAAGATGTTTACTCTTCACTAAGCATTTATCATCATAGTCTATTTTTCTAATGTAGCCACTGAGAACCTCCCCTAGGCCAGCATGCCCAAGTATACTTGGTGAAGCAGCAGATGCTTCCATATTAATATATTACAAAGGAAAAAGAGAGTTTCATAGTTAAATGTTTGGAACACTAGGTTAAATAGGTTTCCCTCTTTTCTTTTTTACTTTTTATAAAATAGACAGAAAACATGAAGAACAACACAGAAGTACACCCACATATTCACCACTGAGATTCAACAGTTGTTAACATTCTGCCATCTTTGCTTTTAGACATATTTTTGTCATTGTTTTTGAATAACCTGAAAATTATTTGCAGACGTTATGCCATCATTACACCTCACCTCTGAATACTTGAGTGTGCATCTCCTAAGACATTTTTGCATAACCACAAAAGCATTATCATACTTCAGAAAATTAACAATAATTCCCCTGTATCACCTAACATGCAGTCCAGATTCAAATTTCCCCTTTTGTCCTCGATATAACTTGAACAGATTTTTGTTCTTTTGAACTGAAGTCTAATTACAGTCCACAAATTGCATTTGATCATACGTCTCTTTAGTCTCTTTTGTTTTAAAACATCCTCCCTGACCTTTTAGAAAAGATATTGTGTTTTTGAAGAAACCAAGCTAGTTGCCTTGGAAGATATCCCACATTCTGAATTTTTCTGAATATGTCCTCATGGTACTTTTTAATTTATTCCTTTCTTCCCAACAAGGTTTCTTTATACCATTAGCTCTCAGAGCCTTCAACACGTTAATGTGTAAAATGACTCCCATAGTGGACCCCTTTTCTGAGCCTCTGCCCTCTTCATAATAACCCTTTCTTTGGGAATTGTCCCCACCTCCAACACACACACACACACACAAACACACACAGGCCTCTAGCAGTCACATATGGACTTTATAACTCCATCTTCAGGGTTAGTCCATTAGAATAACCTCCTTGAAGACTCAGGAAGATATGACGAGTAGTTACAGAAATTTAGACAGTTTTAAGGTGGTGGAAACTAGAATCATTAGGATAAAATACTCAAGGTATTAAGGGTGAGTTTGAAAGTGATCCAGGAATTGTAGTTGTAGGTATTGGGAATGTCTATACCTTAAAGGAACAAGTAAGAAAAAAGTGTTGAGTTAGAGCTCCAGAGAAGGCACAGCCAAGATGACACAAACAAAAGTAAAGCCAGGCTGGACAATGACAGAGCAGGTCCAGGGCTGGCTTAGGTGTTGATCTGATGGAAAGTTATTTCCTATTGGATCAGCCAACTAAAGTACAAGTCGTTTTTGTGCAGCGCATTATTTGTGCAGATTGAGGGGGAAAAAAAGTCTGGGCTAGAAAACAGAAGGAAGTAAAAGGAAGCAAGGAAAGCACTGAGTCTGGCACACAGTGCATGTGGCAGAGAAGAAAGAGCTCAATGGAAGAAGCAAGTTAAACTGTCAGAAACTAGGCCAAGCCTTCCTAGAAGGAACAGTGCACAGCAGAGGGGACTGAAGCATTGAAGGCACATGTCACCATGCAAAGCCTGGGACATCCAACCTGAGAAATGGCAGTGCCTTGAAAAGCACATGGCAGAGGTATTCTTGCTCCCTAAGACCTGAGGAAACCAGATTTGAAAGCACCAACAGCAGAGACAGAAATGTGCACAGGTGATATCCCAGGAGAGAAGATGAGAAATACTGGGGCATCCTTCCTGTAAGCAAGTTGCACGAACCTAATCAATTCTCTAACAAAAGGGGGGTGAAGTCAGCCACTGTGTTCAAGACTCAATATGCTGCTCACAAGTGATGTGAAGACCTTGACCCTATAGAGAGCCCACCTTCAATGCAGTATACACTTGAGCCAGAAAGCCTGGGTTCCTATTTCTCACTTAAGTTACATGACTTGTATGGCTTGATGGAAGCGGTGAGTTGAGGGGATGCTGGTCTCTGTTCCACACAGTCACTCAGGGCCCCAGGCTGATGAAGGCACCATCTAGAAAGTCAACTGTTGTGAAAAAGACACAACTGCCAAGGTCTCATATCTGTTCTTCTGTGCTTCAGTCTGGGAATGACACACTGTACTTTTACCCACAACCCACAAGTCAAAACTAGTCACGAGGCCTGAACTGACTGTAAGTGGGGCTGGGAAATGTGAGGTAGGAGATGGGATGTTTGGTGAACACCACTGTTTATGTCAAAATACCCAGGTAGGAATATTATGCTGGCATGCACACAAATGACTGTTGTGTAGATCTCCAGTTAAGAGTCATAAGCAGATAGGTGGTATTTAAAGCCATCCTCACTTTCTCATGATCATAATCCCAATGGCCTAATGGAAGCCAAAACCAGCTTTTCCTTTGTGATCTTGCCCCTCAATATCTTTGTCTATGAATAGTTTCAAATGTTCCTTTTCACTTTTGGGAGCTCCCTGCTCTGAACGTCAGGCAATGTTATCACCCTTTCCTGGTCTGAAGGAGTAGGAAATCCAGATTGGTAGATATTCTTCAAATCTCCCTGTAGTGAAACTAGCAACACACGAATGTTTTCACTAGCTCACAAGACAGACTTTGGCTTAGGATTGAAGGCAGATTTTGAAACTTTCTGAGAGGAAAGGCTTGGTCTCAGAAAAGCTTGCCTAGAAACAGCTTGATGTTTAGAGCAGAGGGCTCACAAAGGTGAGAAGGGACATTTGAAACTATTCATAGACAAAGATATTGAGGGACGAGATCACAAAGGAAAAGCTGGTTTTGGTGACTGGGAACAAAACTCAGGCCAGGGCTACCACTGGGTGTCACTAGTAGGAAAAGGAAGGCTGAAAGAACAAATGGAGGAAGAAACAGAAGACACAAACTGATTCCAAGGAGAGAAGTAGAAACAGCCCCTAAATATCCTCAAGTAGAACTTTGTGGGAGTATTGCCCACACTGCATGGAACTGCTCTACTGCAGAGAAAAAAAGAGGTGGAGGCAGAGAGGGAGGGAAGGAAGGCAAGAAAAGGAAAATGACAGTAGGAATCATGAATTTAATTCTGAACTATAATGACTTTCAAATGAACTTTATGGGTTCCTGCTGTTAACTCACGTGCATGCCTGTGCCATCTAGGCTGTGCGCCTGCGTTCAGCTATGTGCAGAGGTGGAGGGAAGTAGTTTATTCTGCCTCCCACTAAAGCTTTCCAAGCATTTCATAATTTCACATGACCAATCACATTAATACTTTAGGTAGAGATAAGAGAAAATTTTGGATTTCTCTCTTATTCTGCTTTGTATGTATAAATGCATATACTGAGGTCTCCAATCAACTCAAAATCAGACTTAAGGTTGGTGGATCTAAGATGCGTCTTATTTTAATGCCGGATTATGCCAAAGCAAAAAAGAAGTACTTTTATTAAAATGGCAAACCTTATAAACCATAAAACACTATGGGACGGCTAACAGATAACATAAATTATAATAGATAACATAAATTATAATAATTATATTATATACATAATAATTATAATAAATCCAAATATATTTTATTATCACTGGTGAAGCGATTCGTCAAAACTAAATGGCTCATTTGTGCTTGGATCAGTGAAACAAATGGTCGAAAGAGAAATTATCCTGTAAAATATTACTGTCACCCTAAAACTATATGGAACAGAATAGAAATAGAACTGGAAACAAATCCATTAATGTGAGCTTCTCAATCTTATACATGTTTTGGCTCATAGGGGAAAAAAAAGGCATTTATATGGTATACTGCGGTAAATGAACAAAGTTCCTGGGTTTCAGCTGCCCCAGGCCCATGGGACCTTTGTAGGAACCAAGATGTCAACATATAAAACATAGATTGCCGTTTTCAACCCTGAGGTCACTCTGGAATTACTTGGGAAGTTAGAAAAGATAGATAGATAGATAGATTCCCCTGCCCCCCACCAGCCCCTGGAGTTTTATTTCACTGGTCCTGGCATCATGACTCCCAGGTGACTAAAGTATGACCAAAGTTAAGAACCATTGCATTAGAAGATAGCCAAGGAAACTTAAAAAAAAATTATCAGACTCATCTAGTTTCCAACTCTGAAAACAAGTATGAGGTGTTTTTTTTAAATTCAGAGAAGTATAAAGAGAAAAAAACAAAGTTGCAAAGCTTCAAAAAATGAAAGTGAAAATCCATCTCCTCCAAAGTAACCACTGTTAAGTTTTTTAAAGAAAAAGCTTATGTATATATCTACATATTTGAATCTCGAAAAATAATTTTTATTTACGCTAAAGAAAGCAAACTACACATAGTATCTCATACTTTGCTTTTTAACAAATTCATTTTATCATGAAATCTGCTCGAGTATGTGGCTACAAAGTAATTCACGTCTACACTGTATTTTATTTAACCATTTCCCTGTTGATCATTTGAGCTATTGTGATTCTTTCTTTGTAATAAACATCCTTATACATAGATTATGTGCCTCGTGAAGAACTGTTGCAAATCTTTTTATAAGGTAAATTCCTAGAAGTAAGATCCCTGGGTGCACTTAAAAATCTGCGTAAATGTGGTGAGCTAAACAAACATTTAGAAATAAATTGACGGCACCTACGTTCGTCAAACACTCGACTGTCAGTTCAGAGGTCCTGGCAGAGCGAGGTGGGTCGGCGGTCGCCGTCAGGGGGAGATGATCGCTTCCCCAGGCGCTACAGAGGCCGTCCCGGGGGCGGGCGCGCTCGGGCCACGTGGGCCGCTTCGCCCCGCCCCGCGGGGGCTCCACGCCGTGGCCGGAGCCCTGGCTCGCGCAGTAGCCACACGCGGGGGGCGCGGCGGCCGGGTCTGTCGGAGTGGAGCGAGGGACTCGAGAAAGGTAAGCTCGCTTCTGGCCGCGGCGCTGGGCGGCCGGGCGCGGGGCGGGGCTCCCGAGCTCGCTGCTTCCGCCCGGGCGGCGGGCCTCGGCTCGGACTTCCGGCGGCGGCGGCGGCCGGGAGCAGGCGCGCGCAGCTGACGAGTAGCGTTGCTGCCGGCCCTTCTGAGCCCTGCGGCCCTGCTGGCCGCGATCCCGCGTTCCTTGAACCATTAACCCCTAGGGCAGCCTTCCCCTCGGGCACTGCGAGGCCCGCCGAGCTTGTTCCCCGTCCAGTCTGGGCCCCCACCCCGGAACTGCCGCCTCAGTGGGGCCGGCGGGGCGTTTTTAACGAAACTTCCTGGCATTGTGTGCTCACACGCATCATAACTGCCCCAAGGTTCCTGCAGCCCCAGCCATCCTGGATGTCCGTCTCCTAAAGTCTGCAGGCGGAACGATCCGCCGCATCTGGCTGCCACGCTCTGGCTCTCTGTGGTTCTGACCGCCGCTCTAAGGACGGCAGGCGGTCTTTACTAAAGCGTTAAACGGCGCGAGGTCATTGCGCATAAGCTCTCAGAGCTGCAGGACCTTAGAGATGACCGCTACCACGATCGCAGCGCCTCCCACGGTCGGGCCCTACTCCAAACACTTGACGGGTGCTGAGGCGTGTATCCCTCACCACGGCCCGACGTGCGGAGCTTCTAGCCGCGCAAACTGCGCACAGAGAAATACAGCTGCTGGGCTTAAGTCACGCAGAGCCGGGATTCAAACCCGGGTGAGCTCACCTGGTGCTCAAAGATCTCGTGTCACAGACGGCAGTAGAGAGTTCCAGGGCAGCTACGTGACTTTATTAAATTATTAGGGAAATATTCCCTTTTAAACATTTGTTGACAAGACTCTTGCATAGTAGCGTTCCTAAATTTAAAAATCAGGACCAGCATCTCTGCATATATAAATGGTGTACACACACACACACACACACACACACACACACATCTTGACTTTGCTGAAAAGTTTTGAACCTTCAAAATAGTGTACTTACAGGCCACTTATTTTTATAAATCCGTGGATGCTACTTAGATGAAATGTTAAGATTTATATGTATGAATGTTCACAAAGTTTAGACCCATAAGATCTCGGTTTGAATCTTGACTGATACTTGGTGGGTTTGGGCAAGCTTTTTGTTAAAGAAAATCCTTTACCTTAGCTTCCTTATCTGGAAAACAGATATAATACGTACCCCTTGGCATCCTTCTGAGGATTAATGAATTCATATATGCAAAGAATCCAAGCAGTTGGCACTCACTGAAGGACAGCTAGTTGTATCTGTTGTTACTCTGCCAGCCAAAGAGATACAAAGCTAAGGCGTTTCTCTTCTCTGAACGTAAAAGCAGGGTTGTCACCCTGGACCTATACATTCTGATAACGTATAGGCCAAGTTCCCAGACTTAGTAAAAGCACCTTAGTGCTTTTGTGCTCAAGAGGAATTACAAGTTCCTTTAACTTCATGTTTCTTTTGTCCCGGTAAGAAACTTAACTTATGCTTTTTAAAACTTCAACCTGAATAGATGCCCTATTCTGGAAAGGTACCTAATAGGGACTAAGGAGCCATTTAGCTAATCTGTAATTTTATGTAATGTTAGCACCTTTAGAAACCTAATTTTAAGCACAGGCCAAAAAATATTTCTAGAAGAGAACTTTGGAACAAAATGGTCAAACTTTTCAGAAGGAAGTTTTCTTCACCTAGGGCTCAAACTGGAGAAACCATTTAATTTTTCTTTCTTTCTTTTTTTTTTTTCTTATTCTGTTAAGATCCTACTATCTTAAAGTTGACTCAAACTAGAGGAAATGTGCAGGAGCATGTGAATAGTGCATAAGAGTAACGGTAATCAAGGTGAACACACTGACTTCTGTTGTCTGAATGGACCATGATATCCACAATATTTAATTAAGAATAACATGGATGTTAATTATAGTCACCAGATATCATAAACAGAACCATTTGTTATGCATAGAGGGAACAGTTCTTTGAAGAATGAGATAATAGTTTTCTAAGCAAAATGCAAGACTAATCATATTTCCCTGAAATCTTTATCATTTAGTCCCAGCTTTCTCTGCTCATTTCTTATCAGCCCCTGCAAAGTTCCCCAGTTTTTCCCTGGTTGGGGGCAAACCCTGCAAAGACTGTTGGCTCTAAGATTCTGAAACCTGAGGGAGGGTTATGTTTGGTTCTCATTTATTTGGGAGCTATGGAGAACTTAATTAACTTCTGATGCTACTCCACATCTCATGTATTTTGTCACTTGCTTGATACTATAATAAGTTCCTATGAAATATGACAATATTGCTGTATTTGAACATGTGGATTAGGAAGGATCACCTCCCTAAAATTAGAATGCTCATTTGAAGCTGATATGTGGTATACAATTTTGTTAAATATCTTAAATTGTAGACAAGTGTATTTGTGTTTAATACCATGAAAATTCCATGGCAAACTTCCTATTAACATTAACTGGGTCTGTACAACCAACATCACTTAGATTTCTCTTCCTTTCCTTTTCTATATGTAATTCCTTATCTTGTATAAGGCAGAGTTGGATACCTCTCAAGTTATCTGGGACTTTCTGTAGTTTCCCACTCTGATAAATTTTCCATAAAGTGATGCAATTGTTAAAATGGAATTGAGAATGAAAATGTTGAGTTAACCCAGTCTTGTCACACCTTTAGAACTGTCCTTACTTTTTGTTTTGAAAGGCCTGTGTCAAAAATAAACATCTATTAAGACATTATGACTACAGAGTTATTTTGTGTTGAAAATACACACATATACTATTTTTAAGGCTGACTGTGTACTTAACTTTGAATTGTAAAAGAATGGCTCCTAGATGGTATATGTTATACAGTGATGTATATGAATATTATTTTGAGTCACAGACTGGATCAGACCTATGTAAATTTGGCCCTTGAGCTAGTAACTGTGAACAATATTGAGAGATTTCTTAGGCTTGATTTTTCCTTTTAATTTCTATTTTGACCAAAAGGAGTATAATAAGAGATGAACTTTAGAAACACAGGGGAAAAAGAGTAGTAATAGTTAATTCTGGATGTGAGCCCTTACTTAGATGTTAACCCGTATTTGATTTCTATGAGAGTGGAGGTTTGGGGAATTAAGTGAAATTACAAGGGGAAAAGGGTATAAGGTAGGCCCAGCTCTATGAAACAACCACAGTTTTGGGACAGTGTTTCCTAGGAAGCCCATGTTTTCTTCATGTATCATTCATTGCCTGATATGTAGAGGTGGCCAGCATTGGAACGGATTTTATCTCATTGCTTTTCTTTTTTGCTGGGTTACCACTTATTTACCATTTGAGGAGAATATAAGATAGAGAAGTGAGCACTGAATGAATTTCATTTGATTAGCAATAAACTGAAAACTCTACTGGTCTTGCCTCTCTTCAGGCTCTCTTCTCCATGACCTTTAAATGATGAATGTACGTTAGGAATTGTATGAGACTTTCTTCCGTATCGACACTTTCTCCTCCAACTGATCCTGTTGAATTTGGTAATTTGAAAACTCCCAAATTTCTCTCTCTAGTGATTCTCAACTGTAGTCTCAGATACCTGACTGCTGACTTGGTATCTCCACCTGATGTTTCTTAAGTACCTCAACTCACTATGTGCCAAATGTTGCTAGTTCTTGATTTTTCCATTCCTGCAAAATAGCATTCCTTTCTCAGTCTTTCCCATCACAAGTCATAATCCACCTAGTGGCACAAACCTAAATCCTGGGAAATATCCTTATTTCTTTCTTTTCTGTTGCTCCTTCATTCCAGTTCATCAGCCCAGCTTCTCTGTGCCTCAGTTTTCTTGTTGTAAAATTAAAATAATACCTTCTTTGTAGTAACATGTTGGGGGATTCAGTTAGTTAATTAAATAAATGTTAAGTCTTAAAAGAGTGCCTGACCTGTAGTTAGCACAGTGTAATTTTAGCTACTGCCATTATTATTATTATATTGTTGTTATTATTACTTTTTTTCCCCCATAGAATCAACACCCTGGTTCAGGCCCCCATCTTCTCTCCCTTGGACTACTGCAGTAGCTTTCTGAATTCTGTGCGTCTCCTCTTGTTTTGCTACAATCCATTCTCCACTCAGCCAGGGCATTCTTTTAAAAACTGATCATGGCAGCCTTCCCACTGTTCTTAGAATAAAATCTACACACAACGCTGCATGACTTAGCTCCTGTCTCACAAATCTCACTACACTAGTGTCTCCTTTTGTTCCTCAAATCAACTAAGCCTTTTTTTTTCCTTCAGGTTTTTGCTGTTCATTCAGCTTGGAATTCTCTTCTAGTTCTTAGCATGTCTAGTTCATTTGTACTTTTCAGGTTTCAGCTCATCTGTTGTCTCAGAGTCACTTTCCCAGCCCATTCTTTGCAAAATGGACTCCCTCAGTTTCTCTCATTTCACTACCCAGTTCATTTTCTTCATGTCTCTTATGACATTGTGTAATTATCTTACTTGTGTATTTGTTTACTTATTACTGATCTCAGTAACTAGAATATAATTTCTAGGGGGCAGAGACCTTATCTTTGCTACTTTCTTGAGATGCCAGTCACATACTGGTTGTTAATAAAATATCAAATGAATGACCATCTCTAACAAGGAAGGAGAACTTTGCAGAAGGAGAATCTGAAAATCCATTGTTGAAGACAATCTTTTTTAATAATTCTGCTGTGCCAAATATTATTGTCAATAGCTACCCTTTGAGAATTTTGCCTGCTTGCTTTTTCAAACATATATTTCTCCCTAATAGATTACAGAGAAACTTGTCCATCAGTGTCCAAAAGATAAAAGTAGGTTGTGATTAGATGTTACCAGGACTCTTTCATTTCTATCATACAATGAAGGGGTTGAAGTAGCCTTGCTCTAAGATAATGGTCCAGGTACACACAGCATCTTATGCCTGAATGTTGTGGGCAGCCTCTTTCCTGCCCACCTACATCGTGGAGTAAGCTTGCCTTATGCTAGCTGCAGAGTTGGACATTGTTCAGATGGTTGAAGATTCCCATTCCCCAGCAGAGGGCAGACACCATGCAGGGCTATCTGATAGTGTAATTATTAGGAGATAAAGGAAAAAGCAAAACCCTTTGAGTGTTCTCAATTTTTGCTTTGTGATTTATATTTCATTACATGCATAGATTCAAAACATGCTCTTGCCTAAGAGACAGAGCTCTTTGTCAATCCTAAGATAACATCATACATGCTTCTCTACACTTTTTAAAAGTTATGGACCACCAACAATCCTGAGATAGGCAGGAAAAGCAGGAATGCTTCCAGAAACTTTGGGATAGCAACTCTAATGAAAAGAAGGTAGGAATAATAGGATAGATTTGGGATTGGAAGTGGAGAAAGAATAAATACAGAAATTATTGGCAAAGCAGGATATATAGTTTCATTCAAAAACCATCATAGGAAAGAAAAAAAAAACCTTAAATACCCCCATATGGGAAGCCCTCAGGAAAATCCTCTACATGGGGCCTGAAATCCCTGACAATGATATATCTTGATACTTCTTTCTCATATGAAATTAAGAGACTATGACTATGTTCTTAAAGTATACAGGTCTCTTTGAAAGGGTTGCTTTCAAAGAAATAGGCTAAATATCTGTGCTGAGAAAAAAGTGTATTTAGAATACCTGCAAATTCTCTCAAATTTAATCTTCTTTTATAAATTAATTGAAGAGAACATCATCTTCTTGAATAAGACAAGACAGTTGCCCAAATAAGACAGAATTTTCTATCCACATTAAGAAAATGAAAAGTGTCCATTCACACTTACTCCCTTCTACTAGAATACAGTTATGTGGTTCATCTGTAAGAGGTGGCTGTCCACTCCAGGCAAAACCAAGAGAGTCACCTTAACCAAGAGGTCCAAGACTACTCGGACTATTGAAGAGCCCCACCTTCAACCAAAGATGAAAACAACACTGAGAATGAGCAGATGCTGTTTAGCACTGACCTCGATAGAGAATAAGAGGATAGTGAGACTTCATTACCTGCAATGAAATGAGTCAAAAACAAATCCAGCCTCCAAGTGGGGAGTCCTCCCTAATTTTGGCAAGCTTTAAGAGCGCTCACTCAAAATCATGACTAACCACAATCCACTATTTATTTTTTATTTTATATAGCTCCCAAAAAGTGCCTGCATCAGTCTCAGAGAAATCAGACTTCTCTTATAATATGATTATCTCTGTGAGTTAAGTGTAGCCAAACTAGGGAAGACGACTTGCCATTTTTTTTCTTATTTTGTTTGTTTGTTTGTTTCACTAGCATGGATTTTGATGGCTCTGAACAAGATCCTGAAATGAAGACATATTCTACTGTCTGTGTTGGCAGAGAAGACGATATTAAAAAGTCTGAAAGAATGACAGCTGTTGTCCACGATAGAGAAGTGGTCATTTTCTACCACAAAGGAGAATATCATGCTATGGATATTCGCTGTTACCGTAAGATTTTACTTTTCACTTGTAAACCTTGTATTTGTTTACTATCCACAAAACTGTCAAAATGTCAGCTTTTTTAATGATGAGATGTAATATTCAATTCCTCTGCAGACTCAGGAGGACCTTTACATTTGGGAGAAATAGAGGTATGTAAAATTAAATCTGTTCTCAACAAACTCAGATGTTTCCTACTTATAGTCTTACTATATTTCATCCTTTATTCAAAAATAATACATATTTGGCTTTGAACTATATTTTAATTCTTTGAATATAATTGCCAATATTCTAGGAATTCACAACCCTACAATGTAAAGATAAGCATTTTACAGGTAAATATGAGAAATATGCATGTCTTCTGACCTAACAAATATACTGAGTTATCTACCCTGCATATTAGTGCACAAATGTTTACGTACATATATAGAGATACAGATACAGATATATAGATATAGGAGAAGCTCATTGTAACATTTATTGTAATGAAAAACTGAAGACAATCTAAATGTTTTACAATAGGGAGCAGTTTAAATTATGAATAGCCATGGTATGGCATACTATCCAACCATTAAATTAATAAGGCAGATCTATATGTGTTGGTATAGGACATCAACGATATAGTTTTGAGTGAAAAAAGTAAGTCATAGAATAGTAAGTCTAATGAGAGTGCATTTTTTAAGTAAAAATAACATTCTCTTTTTACTTTATACACTTCTGCACAGTTTGAATTTTTTCCAATGTGTGTAACTTGTATAATGTAATAAAAATATAAATATGTATATTTTAAGAAAGAAACAACACTTTGAAGGGTTAACTGAGGAAGGAATGAGGGAATTGTATTTCTTCCTTACATTCCCAAACAAGCTGTCTTAATTTCTTGTTTTCTCTTTAATGAAACTGATCTCTCTCTCTCCTCTCTCTCTCTCCTCTCTCTCTCTGGTATAAAATACATGCTTAAACTTAGTGTTCCATTCTCTCTACACATCATATCTACCTAGTGCACACCTGTCCTCATGTTACAAGATGTGTGTTTACATTTATGAATATGAATTTATGATTAAAATGTTGTTTGCTGACAGTTCTGTGGGAGTACAAAACAGCATTTCTGCACTTCTGGTATAGAGATAAAATATAAGCATCTGGATGATAATGTGGAAGAATTTCCCTCAGTTTCAGACCACAATGAGAGCTCTAAGACCTTTCTACCCAAATTGTGGTCTGCAGACCAGCAACAGTGGTGACACCTGGGAGTGTCCTGGAACTGCAGAATCTTGTGCCCTGCCCTAGGCCCACTGCACTTAATCAAGATGGGCATTTAAACAAGATGTAGGTGATTCCCATGCTCTTTAAAATTTGAGAATCACTGCTTTAAGACAGTTAAAAAGTTGGGAATTAACTACTTTGGATCATAAATTGCTCTCCAGTTAACATATGCACTTATGCCTTTAAGTTATCTCTTGAAATTATATCTGAAGTTTACCATTCTTCCACCAGCTAGTGAAAATTCGTCTAGAAGCACTTGAAGGCCTTGCCCTGTTTCTGTCAAGGCAGTGACATTAGTATCTAACAGATAACACAGCTGCAGTCACGTGGTTTAGTTGCCTGAGCTAGCTATCTTCTGATAGAGGTCTAAAACACTGGGAGTCTAATCAGCTGCAAAAGGGACTTGATGACAGCCAAGATTAGGTTCTGCCTTATGCTGAATAATTTGTAAATGAGACGGAAAAAGAGAAGCTGGCCTGTTTTTTAACCTGGTTCTTCTGCAGTTGGTTCTGTTCTGAGTCTGAGGTCTATTGTGAATGTTGGAAATGTCATATTATTAAAATCAGTTATTTCTTTCCCCAGGAGTTTGATGGACGACCATGTATAGTTTGCCCCTGGCATAAATACAAAATTACTTTGGCAACAGGAGAAGGACTGTATCAGTCTATAAACCCTAAAGATCCATCAGCAAAACCCAAGTGGTGTTCCAAAGGAATAAAGCAAAGGATTCATAAAGTGACAGTGGACAATGGGAATATTTATGTGACTCTTTCTGATGAGCCTTTTAAGTGTGACTCTGATTTTTATGCCACTGGAGTCTACAAAGTAATTCAGAGTTCTTCCTGATAAAATTATATGACAATGAAAAATGTGTATGTTTTGGAAGTACTTTTAGAATAACCTTGCTTCAATACCAAAGGTGATTAACTGTTTCCAACAGAGACACAGTTATTATTTTTAACAATCATATAAATGAGAGGTTCAAAAGCACATGTACTTAGTATGATGTAAGGATCACCATCAGGACCTATAAAAAACATTCCATCCAATCTTCTGGATTGAGTGGAAGCTTAAGGTTATAGGTTTGGAATGTGCATTAGAATGTGAAAGATGAAAATAATCTGGAGAAACCAAAGTGAAGAAAAGCAGAAAAAAAAATTACAAAAAATTTGGGGGGTAAATTACTACTTGATACAGCAGACCTTATCAGGGAAAAATTTTAATATATACAAAGTAAACAAAGTAATATGACAGACTCTTATCACCCCCCTTCAATAATTATCAGCATTTTTCCATTCTTGTTTCAATGATCTTTGCATGCATTCCCCACCTTCCCTGTCGATTGTTTTTTTGTTTTTGTTTTTTTTTAGATAAAATTTAAACACATTGAAATGCTTAAATCTAAACTGTTCAGTTTTTCCAAATATATAGCAGACTTTTTTACACTTAAAAATGGGATCAATTTACATGCTGAATTTAAAAATAAGAAAGTTAATTTGCCTGATATCAAAACCAAATAAACCTTGGCTCCGTTTCTCTCCAGTCAAGGCAGACAGTCTCAAAATAAGGAAGACACACACAACTGCTGCCCAGCCATAGGAGATGTGAAATCTGTTCAGTGAGCCAAAGTACTCTCAATGCCTCTATGAAATTTCAAATAAAGGTTTTTTTCATTTGATTTTTAGAGCAAATAAATGTGTGTACAACCAAGTGTTTCATGTAAATGTTATAGAGAAGAGGTATAAGGTGGTGTTCCTCAGAGTCCTTTCTGCTGAGTTCACAGAAAGGCTGATGTTGAGTTGGTTCACCGCACTTTTTCCATGCCAGTGATTTATGGACAGCGCTGTTCTGGCTGCCTCGTGCACACACTGTACTATAATACCCTGGGTACTGATCATCTATAACTCAGCACACAGTAGAATATACAAGTAAGTGGGACCAGAAAGAACTTAAGATGAACAGATTATGAATTCAGAGTGAGAAAAGCTGTTTGTCAAAACTGGAACCTTGTCTAAAACCACAGTAATCTTCGTGGCACAGGACTGAATTAAGTCTGCAAACATAATACTTAATATTCTAAGGGGCCCACATGGACCCTTCCCCTTGGTTACTGTAAAAATTAGTTAATAAATTATGTATCATTAAGACTGTGCTTACAGAACCCTTTGCTACGTATTACATTTTTTTTCTGATGCTATCCATAATCCAACACTCGCTATTCATTAGACTACTAATGAGCCAAGATTGTGCTTTTTATAAATACTGTTTATGCTAGCAGCTACCCACCAGGTACAGGAAATGTACCATCTCTGGGATGAGTATATCCCAGCCTATTACATCAGGTGCTGATCCTCCAATTACTTAACATGTGTCTAGAATTTAAAACTCATGGAAGAAACCAAAGTACCTTCTGCAGGCAAAACCATGACTCTGGCTTGCGGGGCCACAGAAGCATTTCTTCTCAGGATCCAATGGCAACAATGAGTAATAAGGACTTGATTTCTGATTCTAAATTAGTCCCTCTAAATGTAATAATAAAAAATGTTATGTCATGCCCTGTTCTCATATACAGAAATCTTCTCATCAGAGTTGTAAATATTTTGTTTTATAAGTTTATGATACCTATGAATTACAAGTCCTTCATAACTTTATAGACGAGTTTTAAAAGAATTGATAATAAGCAGATTCAAACTATGCAGCCTGTAGATAGAAAATATATCCTTTTGTTATCTCTGAAAAAGATATGTAGCATTTTAATAGTTTTTTTCTCTCCCAGATAAATAATTGGAAAGATACTCTAAATGAGCCTCCAATAAAAGCATAAATATATTATAAACATGCCTATATTATAAACTGCAGCATAGAGTCTAACCCACCAAAGGGTACATTTTCTTGTTCATTAAAAAAATCACATAGTCATACATATATTCTACATCAAGATTCATTTTATTTTCTCTACCATATAAATTCTTGAAAATGACATTTTAGCCGTAGTCCCTGTACTTTTTTTAGAGCAGAGCAGTCAGTTTATGAAAACTAGTTTCCTGTTTTTTTCAGATGAAATATCATTAGGTAGATAACTCTTAAGCTCTGTCCAGTGATACTTATCTTTAGATTCGCTCAGTGATTCATTTCAGTTGATTGGTCAAACACAGAATGTAAAACCTGGATCTTATTACTCAACTTATTAGCAGGAAGTTTGGGCTGATCTGAAATACTGTCTGGCTTCTCCGGTAAAGACCTATAAGGTTTTGCTTTGATTTCACCTTCAGGATACAGAAGCTCAGAAAGCACAGGCTCAGAAAAGGCTTTTCTAAGATTTTCACTCTCCTCCCTGTTTTGCCTTATGGATTCTTCTTCTTGGAGAATTTTCTTTACCTTCTCCAGCACAGCATTAACACAGACTGCCTAATAAAAAAAAAAAAAGTTTCGTTTTAAGCTACTAAACTTACAGATAAAAAAACCAATAAAATGTTTAACATACAGTCATTAATCTATATATTCTAATAAAGAAGCACTTTCTTTCAGGTACCCTGGCACATAATAAACATCCAGAGATCAATTCCTTATTATAAATATATTATGCCATACTCTAGAAAGAAAATTAAAACCTAGAATGCTTTAATAAAGACATGCTTTATATTTTCCCCCAATTCTTTAGGTGTTTTACATTTTTCTTCTCTGATTTAATTAAATGAAACATTTTCTGAGAGATAGAATTTGTCCTTAAACATACTATGTCAAGGTAGGTTTTTTGTTTTTACTTTTACCCCCTTCCAGACTTTGCTTCTACCTAATCGTCTACAATTGGAAGGGCACAAACATTTTGGTAAGAATTTAGTAAGCTAACAAGTCAATGATTTCTAAACAAACATGTTATCCACTTTGCCTCAAAAAATGTCATTCAGTATTTTTAAGAATGTCAAAACAAAACATACAGAGAAAAATAACTTAAAAAGTTGAGAATCATTAAGAGTTGTATCCATTAAACTTATTCTGTAAGTTTACTGATGATGATGATGCCAAGTATTTAAAGCAAGCAACATGAATAACAAGATCTATAAAATACGAAAATACATAAACTAGCTTCTTTTACCAAAGAGATGCCTCCCAGGTGACATAATAGGCTATATTAGAAGGTTTTTCTAAAGAGGATAACAGAGAAAGGATTGAGGGCCTTAGCTTGAACAGCCTCACTTTCCTCCTGACCTGCCACTTCCCCTTTTCTTGCCTGTCTCCCACTAGAGAATGGGGGGGGGCACTACCACCTCCACTTCCCTGCATTAGTGTTGGCCATGTGACCCTGTTCTGGCCACTGAAATAAAATATGTCTGTTGGGGAGGAGGATAGGAAGGATTTTTGGAAAAGTTTTTCCTCCTCTTCATATAAAAGAAAGATTGTCTTTTGCCTCTACTATCTCCTTCCTGCTTTGGACACTGATATGGTTGTTAAGGCCTGAGCATGAGGCAACAAAACTAAGGACCAAAAAGATACATGTACAATGTTCATAGCAGCACTATTTACAATAGCCAAGACATGGAAGCAACCTAAATGTCTTATCAACAGATGGATGGATAAAGAAGTTGCGGTATAACACACACACACACACACACACACACACACACACACACACACACACACACACACA